AATATCGATGAGAATCTTAAAACCAACTCACCTATTCAGCCCTAGCGCCGCCAGCACCAACCTCAGCTCGTCCGCCGTGATTAACCCGTCCGTCCCGATCGAAAATTCTAAACGCCTCACGCACGTCCTCTTCACCGTTGTCACCCTCACCCTCGTCGCCTCCGCCGTCTTCCATTGTCTCCGTGTCCAGTGCACCGAACTCCTCGGCGTCCACCTAGGCAACACCGCCGGCGTCAGTCTTCCCGACAATCGCCTGCAACGCTTCTCCTCCGGCACATAGATCCCGAGATTCTTTAGCGACTCCCTAAGCTCTTCTCGGCCGTTCATCGACTATGGAGAAAGACTCGATGGAGCTTTGTTGTTCCCTTCTCGTGTTAAGCCAATTGGTTTGGATATGATTTTGGGAGAATTAGTTTGGATCGGAATTGTTTGGATCTAATTTTGGGAGAGCGAGAATTTGTTTGGATGTGATTGTGATTTTGATCGGTCTAAGTTAAGTTTTCACTCAATAATTTTGGAAAAGATTTTTGATAATCTGGGATATACTAAATTAAATCTGCAATCAATCTTTTCATTAAGTATTAGAATTTAAATTTTTTATTGAAAATTTTCAAAATATGTATGAGCGGAACTTTCGAAAATTTTCAAAAAAATTTACTTAATTTAGTAGATCTGAAATATTTTGGCGGGATTTCAGTTACTTTTTCAGGTAAGTGTCAAACCTTTTTATATTTATATAGATAAGCTACCTTATCAGCTAGGTTTACAAATACAAGTCTAGGTATAGTCATATTTATGTGAAATTATCCAAAAAAAAAAAAATAAAAATAGTTTAACTAGATTTCATTATATACAGTTGCCAGTAACCCGAGCCAAATCTCCAAATCTGACGAGGCGAAAGAGCTGTGGTGATGCAGCAAAAACTTCTCCAGATGACAAGCCACTTTCTGGACGAGTCACTCGTCACAGTGTGGGCCCCTTAAAAGACGGTAAATCCTCTCCTCTTCTGAAGAAGTCTTCTTCTCCTGTTACTCCCAAAGGCAAGGATCGAACAAACGGGCCTAAAAAAGCCAAAAATCAGCAAAAACCGAAAGATACACCAGCTGAGAATTCACCTGTGAAGGAGCCCGAGCCTGAGAATGGAGATTTATCCATTGTTGAGTCTTGAGTTTCTTCTTTTTTCTGTTAATAGTTTCTGACTTTAGTGTTGAAAAAAAAGACTCGGGGGTGTTTCTTTTTATGACGATTCATGAAAAAAAAAAAAAGATGTTTGTTATGTCGAGGGCAACTTTTTCGTTTCGCCCACACGGTGACTTTGCCGAAGGTAATGTCTGAATTTTTTCTGCTTGAGTACATATATGTCCTGTGTAATTTTTATTTAAACGGTTTTTTCGTGTATTATTCGGATACAGACTAGCTTAATTAAACGTGTTTTTGCGTTTGAAGAAGAAACTGAGATGAAACTTCTGCTGGTTTTTTAAATTTTTGGCTTCTGATTTGGTCTGGTGTGACTAGAAGGATCATTTTAGTAGGGAGATTTTTTTATTTTGATAAGGTCTTTGCAGGGGTTTTTGTTAGGGTTATTTTAGAAGAAAATAAAATTTGAGTTGTGTTGGTATTTGGTTTACACTATTGAAATTTCATACTATAATATACATTTTTTGTAATATCACTAGTATAAATGCACATTTTTTACATGAAAATATTGCTGGCTAAAGGTTGGATAGGCTACATATGTTGTGAATTTTTCAGTGATACGAAAGTATGTTGCGGGCTATAACTTATAAGTTGATATTTTCTAATTATTTGTGCATTTAACTAATATTGAGTACTATTCTAGTCGAGCATTTTGTGTTCAAGTTTATGCTTATTTAGTGAACGAGTTGATTCGGCTAATTCAGTCGCGTTGAGCTGAGCACTTCGTGTTCAAGTTATGTGCTTGCATAAGAGATGTGACTCAATTAACGAGTGTTGTTCGAGTTGAGATGAGTCGAGCACTTCGTGCTCGTTTAATAACGAGTCGGCTCGACTTGTTTAAAAAGGAGGCCAAAGACTCGGCTTATTTAAGATTGTTAAAGTTCAGTTCAAAATACACTCAAAAGTTTAAACGAGCTGTTTGGCGAACACAGTTTTAACGTTTGCGAAGAAGTCCGACTCAACTATTCATGCTAAACCTATAAAAAATTAAAATAAAATATAAAACTAGTTTTATCGCAAACTAATTCTGCTTGGCTCATTTCATAAACAATGTCGATTAATTGTCCAAGCTCAGCCTGTTCAATAAACAAATTTAATTAGTTATTCAAACTTGAAACCAAAATGTAGTGTCTATTTCTACGCAAAATAAAAACATGACGGACTGAAATCTGGAAAGAGTGCATAGTTTTTTCAAGAGGTATCTCCTCATCTTCTTCTTCCCCATTGGCATTATTCATCCTCATCATCCGGCGACAGAGAGGAGAAGGCGGCGAGATCTGGAGTTTAGAGTCTCCGCCGGAGAAAGGGGATGGATTAGCAGCGGAGCTTTGAGATCTCAGATGGTGATGTTCTTTTTTACCTTTTGTTGGAATACCACTTATGAGTTGTCCTACATTAATTCTATAGTTAAAATGAGTCTAGTTTATAAGCCTGGTGGCTACTCTTCCCATCACCAGTTAGTTTTAAGATAGAACCCACCTAAGCTCACCCTCTTATGGTGTGCTTCACTTGCGTGGGACTACACCCTCTTCCCTTGATTTTTACGTGGTATCAGAGTCATGCCAGCTCTGGCCTGAATCTATATCTCTACCCAGCCTGCTCTGGGCTTGGGCTTTGCACTTAGGCTGACCTGGATCTATATCTCTACCCGACCTTCTCATGGATTGGGCTTACTCTCTACCCAGCCTATTCTGGCCTTGAGCTTTGCACTTAGGCTGACTTGGATCTATATTTTTTCTCGGTCTGCTATGGACTTGGGCTTACTCTCTGTTTTTTCACATAGTTTTATGTTCAAAACTGCATTTATCTTTTGACACATGAGTCTTTGAGTAGAATTGTGCTATTGCAAAAGATTATACTCATGCGAAAAATGTGAATGTATTGCATTCATTGATTTTTTACGATATGTTGATCCAACCATTAAAAAAATGTGAATCGAACTAGCCCACAGGCCACAAATTGCTCGACACTGTTCGAACCTGGTCACTGGATGAATTTTTCCATGCAACAACTATCACGAGAAATTTTATATTGAACAAATATTTCCTTGAAATTGGTATAATTTTATAATTATTATTTTTAGGATAAAGAAAACATGAGTATTCCATATTAATTTGGTAAACTTGTTGACTAGAATATAGCTGATTACTTTGCTAATATGAACATATTAAAACCATAAAAATGTCACGATAATAAATGTAATTTCTTAATAAAATAATATATTCTAGAAATTAAGAGCAAAATAAGAAATATGTGATCATCAATAACATTGCATGAAACTTCCCTTATTCTACATGATATATGTTTAGTTAAAAAATTACACAATTCTTATTCCATCAACCACGTACCATTTGAAATTCTCTAGTAGATATGATCACGATTTCATATAATTTAATGCAAGAAAAACATTAAAAAAAAAAAGGCAAACAAATAACAAGAGAAAAGAAAATGACAGTTAGCTACGTGAGAAGCTCCATAATGAAAGGACGTCCCCTCATTTGCCTTTTCCTTTAATATTATTCATTAACTCCTTCCCTCCCAATTGCCATGGCTGCACCATTAGGTGGTGCCCTCTACACACCATTCAACTAAAAATACCCTTAACTAACTTAAAAAAAGCCATAAGAAAAAGGATCACCAAAAACTTGCTTACCCCCATTTTCCCCTCATTCAAATTTCACCCACAAAAGACGAAAAAGAAAAGAAAAACCCGACCAAGAACAACCGCAAAACTCGTTTGATCTCGGCCGACAAAAAAAGGCACGACCCTTCCACGGCGGTCCCACCATTCTCCCACCGCCGTGGCTG